GATTGATATTTTTTTTGTATAACTCTTGTTGTTTTATATATTTTATTTTGAGCTGTTTTAAGGAACACCAATTGTTCTAATAATAGACTGTTTCGATGGAGCAAATGAGGTGTTTGGACACTATGAGGTAGATAACTATTATTGTTATTATTATTGCTATTACTACTATTGTTATTACTACTATTGCTATTATTGCTATTGTTATTATTGTAATTATTGTAATTGTTATTACTACTGTTGTTTATTTATTTATTTATTTATTTATTTTGAGGTAATTTCATATGCAATGTTATTCTAAAATTGGATTTTCTTTTCGATTTTGATTATTATAATTTTATATTTTTTAAAATAAGATCTAGATACACACATTGATTTCTATTTAATTTTAATGTGCACAATTTTATGTTCTCTCTATTTAAAAATAAAAAGAAAATAATAAAAACACTTTAACCCACACAAACAAACACACATCATATAACAAAACATCAAACCCCAATTTCACACACGCACATATCTCTTTTAATCACAAAATTTAAAAAAAGATATGTACCCTTTAGTTGTTTCTGTATCGGAAAAAATCTTGATTTAAAAGGGATTATTTGTTTTTTTAATACTCGAACTATATAAACTATAGTTTGTGTCTGATGAAAAAAAAAAAAATATATTCTAAAAAAAAAAAACTAGTTCACACACCAAATTTAAAAAAATAAAATAAAATAAACAATATCAAATTTATAGTTATGTGAACATTTGATGAATGAGAGTGTGATGTTAGTGATGTATATGTGAATTTTCTATTATTATAAAAAATTAATATTGATTTTTTAGTTTTATATATAAAAGAGTAAATTTGAATAGTGGAACATGATAGTTTTGTTTAAAAAAAAAAAAAACACACCTATTTTTTTCAAATTAACCTACTCACACCCACACACAAAAAAAAAAAAAAAAACACACACAACACATATTCATTATAAAAACACATAAAGAAAAAAATTAATTAAAAGCAGTTAGGTTTCTGTTTTTTTTTTTTTTTTTTTTCCGTAAGTTTTTAATTTTTTTTTTTGAAAAAAATGGTTTTTTTTTTTTATTTTTTTTTTTTGATATGTATCATATTTATTGTGTATAATAATAATCATAACACTTATATAATGATAAATTATAATAGGGAATAATAATAAAAATAAAAATAATAATAATAATAATAATAATTATACAAATATATACATGTAATAATATTTTATTTATTTATTTATTTATTTATTTGTATCAATACTTTTTCATATTTCTTTGTTTTGTAAATAATACCTCTTTTTTTTTTTTTTGTTGTAATAGTAATAAAAAATAATAATTGTATTTTAGAATAAAATAAAAAAAAAATTAAAAAAAATAAAAAAATAAAAAATAAAATTTTTTTTTTAAAATTTTTGTAGTTTTATAAAAAATCCTAAATCAAATAATTTGCACTTTATCATAATCATATCAAAAAAAAAAAAACAAAACACTTTTTTATTTTTTTTATTTCACAACAAAATCACCGAGATAATATCTATATTTTTTTCTTTATCTCAACTTTGTATCTTTTTTATATATACCACCAATATTCAAAAGTTTATTTATACTAAAATCATACATTATAAATAAAGTTATATTATTGTTATTTTTTCCATTTATTTCAATTAATAAAAGGGTTTTTTGAAAACAATATCAGACAAATCCTTTTTTTGTAAATCACTTGTACAACAAAACACCCCCTTTTTTTTTTTTATAAAAAATAGTATCATCTCTTTCTAATCCTTTAGAAATTTTTTATTATTTTTTATTTTAAAATTTTTTTATTATTTTATATCACAAAAAATTTCATATTTAAATTTGGAATTTTATTTCAATAAAATTTTTTCAATTGAATCATTAAATTTATATAAATCAAATCATCATTAAAATCAAATTAATAAAATAAATAAATATATAAATTAATTTAAATAAAAAATGGTAAAGACGGAAAGAAAAAAAGATTTATTAGTAAGTAATTTATTTTTTTTTATTTTTTCTTTTTAGAAATATTTATTTTTTATTAACAAATTTTTTTTTATATTAAACAGGAACAATTTCAATATGAAAAAATTAAAGGCGATGTTTCATATTCATCATTAATGAAGAAAACTGGTAGTAATGGTAAAGGATTTTTAGATCGTTATTTTTTACTTCACAGAAATTATGTAATTTACTATAAACCAGGCAAAGGTAATATCAAGCCAGATGATAAACAGGAACCTCAAGGTTATATTAATTTAAAGGAATGTATCTACGAAGACACTAAAGAACAAAAAGAACCTCTTCAATTTCAAATCGCCCACAAACATAGAATATATATTATTAAAGCAAAAGATGATAGTACAAAAAATCAATTTTTAACTCTCTTAAAGACAAGAATCAAAGCTTTATCATTGATCAATGTCGATCAATTGGGCTCACCAGAAAAAGTTCAAATTGAAATTAATGAATATAAAGAAAAATTACCAAATCCTTGTAAGTAAATAATAATATTATAATATTTAAATAAGATCATTTATTAATATTATTATTTTTACAGTAATTTTACCAGATAGAGTTTCACCAGATAAGGCCAAGGATTGGGTAAATGAAATGAGAAACTACAATATAATTTTTCAAAAAGCAGATCCACATATAAAACAAGTAGAGCAATTCTCAGAATATTGTAAAGATGGTGTTAAGGATTATGTCGATTGGTTTTCAGGTCCTGAAGGTCCAAGACTTGCAATGATTAGATGTGAAGAAACAGTTTTAACAAATTGGGTCGAATATATTACCAAAACCAAGAATGAAATTGCAAGTTATGAAGATACTAGATACTTTAAAGAGGATTACAGTGACATCACCAAGCATTTAAAAAATATGCTTTTACTTATTGAGGCCTATCATGACTACATGAGAACTTGTAGAAAGAATACTAAACCAACCGACAGATTCCTCGAAGAAAAGGCACTTTTCGATGACTATATTACAAAGTACAGCCGAATTCAGTCTTGTATGGATTTCAAATTAGATGACGATTTAGTTGAAGGTGTTTCTACAATTACATGCATAGGAGAAAAGAAAACTGGTCCAAATAATTCAGTAATCGGTTTATCATCATCAAACTCATCAATTTGTTCAAATAAAATGTCATTTTTTGCATCCAATCAAGATGGTAATTACCCAACTGTAGACTTGATGAATTTAAACTCTGACTCGATGCCTTTTATTCCAGACACCTCGTCAGAGCAAGGCAATAGAAAATATGACTCGGAGGACGAAAAACAACCAGATGAAGCTTCAACAGCACCATCACAATCATCTCTTGGCACCCTTGAAAAGTGGGAGTATTCAAATAATTCACTTATTAAACCAGATAATGGAAGAGAAGAGGTTGAAAACAATAATGGCAATGGATCATCATTAAACTTTGACCCACGTTGGGACTATTCAAATGGTTACTTTAAGAGTAAAAATATGGGTGTAGTACTTTGGAATGGTAAAAGTTGGGTTTGGTCTCATATAAAAACAAGTTATAAAATTCGTTTCGATTGGATTGCGGCCAGTCAAACTTTCACATTCGTATCACCAAAGCCAAGAACTGGTCTTAGTCTTTCAGTTTCAAGTCAAAGTAATTCATCAACCTCTTCATTATCATCTTTAACCGGTAGCAATGCCACAAAAAAATCTAATCATCCAGCCACAATTTACCCAGATTGGCAAATTAAAGATAACGGTTCCTCATTAATTTCTATTGTCAGTCCAAATAAAAATCAAACAACAGACAATTTCTCACATCTTGAATCAAATAATAAAATTCCACCTGCCGTTTTACTTTTGGTTGCTATGACCCCACATATTCAAAAATCTTTATATCATATTGGTATCGGTCCAAAATATATTACCAATAATTAAAAAATCAATGTAAAAAATTTTGTAAATAATTAATAATATGTAATATTGTAATAATTAATAAATAAAAAAAATAAAAAAAGTTAATTATAACTTGTTAATCGAATAAAAAAAAAATGAAAAAAGAAAATTTATAAATATGGATATTTTTTATTTTTTGTTTAATAATATCTGATGGTGTCAAACAATTTATTTAATTTTTTAAATTAATTCACTTATGCGAACAATCAACATATGATTTCAGCATAATTTTGTTAAAAAAAGAAAAAAACTAGGTTGTTAATATTTATTATTTGAAAAAAAAATTAAAATAAAAAAAAATAATTAAAAAAATAAAAAAAATAAAATTATTTTTTTTATTTTTTTTATTTTATTTTTTATATTTTATATCTTATTATTATTACTATTTGTGTGTATATACATTATATTTGTGAATGTATATGTGTTTTTATGATATTATTATAAATTTTTTATTTTAAAAAAAAATAAAAAAAAAATAATAATAAAAATAATAATAATATTAATATAAATGAAAAAAAAAAAATAACAAATATAATATATATTTTATATATTACGTGTAAAATTACATACAAATAAAAAATATGACAGTACTACCAGATTATTTATATTCCCAAATCCTAAATGAAATTGTTCTTCACATATATAACAATAAATTAAAAGAGTTTTATTTCTCCTCTTCAGGTTGGAAATTCAACAATACCGAAATATTGGGATATTGTATATGCAAAAAATGGTTTAATATATTATCAAATTTATTATTAGAACACCTTTCATTTAATAATTATAAATTAATAAAATATTTGATAAAAGATAATAGTAACAATACGGACACTTATATTGATAATAATATAGAAAATAATAGTATAGATAATAGTAATTATAATTATAACAATAAAAATAATATTAATATTAATAATAATAATAGTAATAATCAAAACTATAAATTAATACAAAATAATAATAAAATTAAAGTTTATAAATCATTAAAAGAATACGAAATTGATAATTCAAAACAATACAGTAAAGTTTTAGTTATAATTAATAATGAAGAAGA